CAGGATCTCAAGGACTAACTAATCAAGAAAGGGAAAGGAGAAGAGCTAGGAAACATGAAAATGTCAAGCCATACAGTTATATGTAGAGATGGGCAAGGCAATGATCCTGAGAATCTCCAGAAGATTTTTGAATCTAGCAGTTAATTGGAAAGATTCTCACCCTGACTAACTATATGTCAGTTGCTGCTATGCTTTATTCTTAAGGAAAAACTAAATTGAAAGTGGTATGTAACTCAGAAATACCAAACATTGTATATAAGGCATAATTTGGGTAATTATAATTATGAGCTAATTACTGCTTGAATGTTCATATGTTTGAACTTATAAAATCAATTTATAATAACAAAATGTTGTTTGATGTGTTTTGGAAGCAGCTGACAGAGAAACCAATAATAGCAGTAAAGGCAGACCAGGGGAACCCACCGCAGCCATGGAGATGGCATCCGGAGAAGAGGTGGGCAGGGAGAGACAGCTGCAGCTGGGATGACAGGAGAGACTGCAGACGGGACAAGGCAGCTGGGAGCAGGAGCCAACCGGACCCCGAAGAAGTGGGGGAAAGGGGCAAGGGAGGTGGAAGATCCAGGAACACAGAGAGTAAATTCTCCTGACAGCCTCAAGATGAGTCACTAACTAGATTTCTGGTCATTAAAAATAGATTGAATATCTGAGTCTCACTCACCGGAACCATATGAGAGAGGACTGCTAATGTTTGGATTTTGTTTAGTGGAAATAAAAAGAAAGGGAGAACAAGATAGGGAGGGGAGGGAAGACGGGAGGGAGGGAGAGAGAGAAAAGAAATAAACATTATAAGAAGACTTAAAAAGCCAAAAAGCAATTGTTTCCTACTTTTCTCAGTCCTACCTCCCAAGATCAACTACTTCAAACTGAGGGTAATAACTTCTCCAGCGTAGGATCACTATGAGTCTGAGCTGCGTAGTGAGACCCTGTACCAAATAGATAAAATCAATAAATAAATTCTCCAGCTTATGATCTTCAACTGCTACATTTATTTTTTTAAATTTAAATATTTAATAAAACAATTATAATATGTGTAGGCAAATCAGTAATAGAAGAGGTAACACTTTATTTTAATGGTAAACTTTCATGCTAACTTAATAGTAAAGTGGAAACATAAACTCATTTTCATATAAAATCTTTGATTCCATTTAATTAAGATAGTAATACATAAAGAAAACGTGTCTTTTTCAATCTCATCTCTTTGTTGTTCTTTTTAGTTTGTAGAGTCCTGCTTTATGAGAGGGTCCTGATCTAACACGAAAGTCTTTTTGTGACCCACGACACCACTTACAGACAGCTAGTTCTGTTGATAACATTGGAAATAGCAGGAGTATGCGTAAAAAGGCGCAAAGCAAACAAGCCCTTCTCAGAAGATACAAATTAATTTCACCTCAAATGACACAGGCCCACAAAACAGTATACAAAATAGAGCACTGGATAACACTCTTTAAGACATCTGATGACTCACAAAAAATTCTAAAATAGTCTGACTGAGATAACTCTGAACGACAGTGATGTACAATTCAGATACTTATTTGTACATTCTGAGTTTTGTTTATCACAGTAATTCCTCAGTGTGTAGCACATATTATGATGAAGACATTTTGTTCTTGC